TAGTATATTACGATTCGAGGCGAGAATTTCTAGAGCTATAGAGAAATAGAATTAAATAAATAATTAATAAGTTCTGATGGATAATAGATTCAGTAAGCATATAAATTTGTCTTGAAATGTAACAAAGAAATTCATATTAACGCGGTAACCAGCTAAACAAATCTTTGATTTTAAGGACCAATGAAGAKATGAGAACCTTATATATAAAGAAAAGTGGGGATGCGCAAACAAGATTCAAATTGGTATTGTTGCTGACATACCTATATTTTGTCCATGACAGAATAATGTTCTGTGAACTGTGAATTGTGATGACAGTAATCAGTACATCGCTGAACGTTATCGCAGACACTTCAATTTTTCTTACCCGTAAACTTTGCCGATTTCTTTCAAAGATTTATTTAAAATATTCTTTTATAATGGCTGAATCGAGTTCGCCCGCGACTTTGAACATGAACAGTCTGCCTACAGTGCGCATCGATCTCAGCGTACCGCCTTTGGACCGAATCATCGAAGGTAGGAATTTAGGAAACGCAGTGTAATAAATGGGTACAAACTACTATATAACACGATAGCTGATATGATTAATATTAATAAATAATTAGTTGCTTAAATCATTAAACAACTTATTATTATTATGTACAGTGCAATATTATACATCACAAACATTACACAGAGTGTATCACGAATACATTTGATAATATTGTTCATAAGACATATCGTATATTATTATATTTGATATAATGTCATTTATTCGAACACTCTATACACAACATAAATACTTACCTCCATAATTTAAGTGCCTAAATAAAACACGCTATAATTTTTAATTATCTCTTCTGTTGAGGTAATATTAGATTATGATAAAAATATGTGTGTCTAACYAAACAAAATTTTGCCAGAGAAATTAACCTCAGTATATTTGTAGAAGTGTAAAATAGTATATATTACGTATGCTGGTTGAGCACAGATATATTGTAAAATAAAACAAAAAAGAACTWCAAATACATTTTTAGTTATCAATACTACTATTTATAATTTATATAGTATACCTATACCTAACCTAACCTAACCTATGTTAATTAATATTTAATTCGAAATACATCATTTTCTAAAAYTCGAAATACAATGCAGATACTGCAGAATTTACTCAGAATACTGAGAAAAAAAATCAATTTTGAAATCGGTTGAAATTTCAACTTACATTTATAAAAAATAGCATAAGTAATACTATAAARCTCTTCGATGATTTTCGCATTTTATTAACTAATGCTAATCCAATAGGTGATAAAGAACATGTCGAGTACTACTCGTTGAAATTGCATGTAATATTTTTTTATTTTTTTTATAATGTTTTTAATAACAAATTATAATTTATCAAAAATTTTGTTACAAAATAATGTGTTGACAGGTAATATCTCGTACATTTTTAATTTAAGCTCATATTTTATTAGGTACAAAAACTATGGGCATATAAAGCTGACTTATGCACAGYAGTTCTTGATTGATATTGTATAAGAATAATTATGATAATATGTATAACTTGTAATACACTTTACACTGTACCAATAACACCCATGTACAATGTAGTATTACCTATTTAATAATATAATATACAAGGATTGATTTGATTTTATGATTTTAGCYCTTTTACCAGAGTTGTCGAAAAATTTTAAGACCGTGAGCGTGGACGTGGTACAATGTCCCAATTTAACCTGCTCGCCGTTCAACTTGGCTGCCGAAGGTAAGTACAAAATCATATCGAGATAAAATCCACATAATATAACACGCTTGTGTAACTTGAAAATTTTCTGAAATTATCTTGTGTTATTATAAAA